AGCAGCATACAAAATATCTGCAGTGCTTCAAGGAAGTGGGTGTTCCAGCAGGACTCTTTGCACAAACTCCGATTGGTGGAACTTACAGCATCACGGGCAATGTATTCCACTTTTAAACAATTCTTCAAACAGTTCCCAGTAGGTCGGTCTCTCAAGGTTAAGTTTAGATTAACTGCGAAAAGATATCTTTCCTTCTGGAACCAGAATAGGTACAGTAGGACTACCCTCATTTACAGCACAAATCAAGATTGGTTAAATTAGACAACGAGAATAGGTTTCTCCATTTATTGAAAACCAGCTGAAGTCTTCAGTCGCTCTTGAACCATTACAGGACCGAGTGAGGCCTTGCCTTCCCACTGAATGCCTAGAAAAAGCAAATACCCAAGTAACGTAGAGCACTTGAAGTGTCAAAAACAATCTTAGAGCAGCTACCTACCCCCAAAAGGAGCAGCACTTCCACCATCAGGACCACATGTTGAACCAGCTGGAACCGGATCTGGTCTTCCTGGGTTCGAGGCATGAAGCGGGAGCTGGAAGCCGTAGCATCCACAAGGCACCTGATTTAAAACACACAGACCTCAATGTCGTCTATACAGCATCAAGTCACTAGACCTTACCCTTATTCTCAGGGACAAAGCGGTTAAAGAGCAGCTCAAGAACGCCAACATTGTTTGCTTATTTATGGTTCATTTGGATCCACATTAGCTTCCACAAAGTGGTTGCTAGTCTTCCTGGGGTCCAGAAACCAATCCAAGACAAACGCCAACTTCATGCATCAAGTGCCATGACCCGTGCAGAGTCCCAATGTGGCTACTTACTACACTTTGGGACAAACTATCACACAATTGCATGTTTAACGGACTGCTCGGTCACATAGTAAGACGCACCTGGTCACTGTAAACTGGCCTGTCAATAATCTGGTCAGATTTAAAAGGATAACTTCCTACCGTACTGGAGAGAAGTGTAAAACATTGATCTGCCAGCCACGGTCTTCATGCAAAGAACTGCTCATTTTTGCATGCATTTTAAAAATTAATGCCCAAACGGACATAAAAGGTTGACGTTGTTGCACCAGAAATAAGAACCTGGTAAAAATGTTTAATGTTGATTAGTACCTCAAACACCATCTAAACCAGTCGCTCACATCCACCAGGTTAGTTAACACTTTAATAGTACGCGTGTGTAGATCTGAACCAATTCCTAACCAAAGCGCAACGGATTGTGGGTGACATCAGCCATTAGTGTACACTGATCCACACTTCAAAAATTGTAAACCATCTGGGGACTTTCAACATACTACACTTCCAGACAATGGTTTTAATCTCACATACAATTTAGGATGGACAGTATGAACATTGGGACGCAGGGATGGTTATTCTCAGGTGATGACAAAAAGCACTTACCCAGAGGAACCAAACGGTCACGTGACTCAACCCAATTCTCAGTGACCAAGTGGTCACAGAACAAACTCAAATAAATTCTAGAGAATGAAGTGACATGACTTTACCCATGATTCTCAATGAAGGAATATCTCGGAAGAGCATTCACATCAGGTACTTGGGTGGCCACACAGCTGTCCACAAACACACGCAGTGGGACGTGGTTGTACACCTTCACAGATGCCTCAATATTAATAACATCACCCAGGAAGTACAAGTTTGAAGGCCTCTGATAGGACCAGTCATCTGCAAGAGGAAAGAACAGTTTAGGTACAGCCTCATTCACAAGGCTTAAGATCTAAAGAAACTGCACAAATCAATCATGAGCTTCAGTGTGAACAGCAAGACTTCCTCGCCAACCTCCGTTGAGGAATAAGGGACCCAAGCTGGCCTCAAGGCATTACTACTCACATTATAGAACCTGCAGTTCAAGGAGGTACCAAATAAACACTCTTCCAGTTGCAACACCACAAGAAAGTGCTGAAAGTCACATCCAGTCACTTACCTTTGATAGTGGCATTGAACACCAACAACTGCACCATTGGTACGGGTAATCGGAGTGCCATCAAGTGCCTCAGGAGTGTAGGTACAGTGCCAGCAAACGCCTCAGGAGTGTAGGTAACAGCAAAGGTGTAGACAAGCTCATCCTCAGTCATCTGTAAGAGATTGAAGTGGTTACCAAGAGGGTTCTCAACTAGTTCAAAAAACAAAAAGGTGTTTTATCAGCCATGACATAGAACTACTTTTGGTGCCCCAAAGCAGCTTTCAGTGAGCGGTTCTTAAAAGAAACTGCAAGTTCTGTGGATGTTAAACATTCAAGTAACAATTGACACCAATTAAGAAACCATTTTATTGGTGTACAAATAATCCAGTAAGATTTAACAGTTCTTACCATCAGCACACTATTGCAGTCCTGTAGTTCATATTCAAAGATGAGCATCCTAGAGGCAGAGTCCTCACCGACAACAGGACAGCCTCCCATAGACAAACCAGATGGCTGGATCAGTTGACCATTGCTAAACAAATCCTTCTTTACCTCCACAAGAACCCGGTTCTCACCGCATTGAACAGCCACACTACTGGGAGTCACGGGTTGCCTCAACTGGAAGTCCACCGCCAACTCGCTTTGCACCTCTGGAACGATGGGAAACCTCCAGTCCAAAGGCTTGACTGGACCCTGCAACAGCTGCTTCTCCTGAAAACCAAGAGGCTCTTGCACAAATCCTCTGGAGTCCTGACTCTGAAACTGAGAAGCCTTCTGCAAAGGATTCAAGACCCCTTGAAGAGAAAGAGCAGGACCTCCGGAAGCTGGATCTGACTGTGGCTTCATGCTGCTTGGACTTTGACTGTGTCTCAAACTTCCCCATGCACTCTTCATGTCAACTGCCACAATCACAACCAACACTAACACACCTTGCAAAAGACCCATCCTGACAAACTTTGGCAGAAACACTGACAGTTTTTCCATTATAGATAGTTAATGGCATCTAAAAAGCATCGGAGTTCATAAACAAATATTCATTAATAATCATAACTATTCATTAATAATTTTTAGTTTAGTTTTTAGTATAGTCACTATGGTTTATTGGTAACATCATATATACTTAAATACAATTTGATGCAACAGTGATTTACTCATATAAATGAGTAGAAAGGAAAATATTAGTAAATTGGCAAAATGGGAGGGACTAAACAGCCCGGAAGTCACCTGTAGTTGTTCAGGTACAATAAGTGGGCCTAGACATTATTGTCACATTTTTACTCTTCATTGTGTATTTTTAATTAAATGGATGTCAATCCCTGTAATGTCTGGAGATTCCATAGTGAGAGATTCATCAGTATATTGCCAAAATTTTTTTTAGAAAGATTGAGAACTAGAAATATTTTAGATGTATCAAGTCTCCACATCTTACAATGACTGAAACGTTTTATTTGTTCTGAGACAGCACTGTAATTCTCTTAAAATCCATCCAGCTTTAAGATTATTCCAACAATACATTTTGATGCATCCACAAAACCATCACATGAAACATGGCGCTCTCTTGTGGCTGCTGGGATACATTGGAGATATAAGTGAAATTAATTATTTACCTAACAAATTATATATACATTTAGAACAATAAAATGGGTTGATTTGCAGAATCAATTTAATTTTTAACACTTTATAGAAACACTAACAGGTGTACATGTAGTCACTTTTTTTTATTAAAACAAGAATTGTCAAAATTTGTTTAATACTAAAATGACTAAAACTAAACTAAAAAAAAATAAATGCTTAAAAATAAATGAAAGCAATAGAAATATATTAAAAAATGAAAAAAAAAAATCATAAAATTACTCAAACTTAAATGAAAACAAACTGAAAATATAAAATGCAAAGCTAATTAAAAATCAATACTATAATACTATAAATATAAATATATGTATATAAATTAATACTATACACAATTTGAGTTGAATTACTGAAATAAATGAACTTTTCCATGACATTCTAATTTATTGAGATGCACCTGTAATACTAAAATAACATTTTTATCGTAAAGTTTGTCAATGCTGTCATATCTGTACTGTGTAAAAACTTATGCACTTTAAACCAAGCAAAAGGATAGAGACAAAAATCATTACTTTAACCATTTAAAACATTTATTTTCTGAATGAAAAATATAGTTGTTTACAATGGGATATAATTGAGCTCTGACAGCTGTACATCATCAGAACACGCACTCATGATGGTAGCAACGGCGGAGGCTGAGATCTCGCTCTACTCAACCGAAACGGATGAGAATCCATTCGGGGGAAACAGCAGTTTTACTAGCTTCAAATGCAATGTGGTTAAAAGTTAATAACACTTAAAATCAGCAATATAAACAGTATCTGCTTATTAATATCCATGTATTCCAAAAACCAGCTCCGAGAAGGGCTTTTACAGTCCAGTTTTCAGCTTTGTTCATTAATTGTCTTTAAGTTCGGTTTTCCAGTTCAGATGAACACTGATCATTGTCCACTCACATCAGCAAACCTCAAACATCACAGCAGTTTGTCTAAATCTAACCCAACAAAACTCAACATGAATTATGAAAAGGTTTGAGACAGACATTGTGCTTTTACAACCACTTACTCCAAAACGCAAATGACTTTTACCTCATAGTAATGACGGAAAAATGCTGATTAAACCATTGTGTTGAAGGAACTCACCCTGTGGATATGTTCAGTTTTTAGCCTGTTTTTGAATTAATGTTTCATGGTATTCAGATGCACAGTATAATGTGAAAAAGTGATTGTCCTTCACAACAAAAAATATTTTACTTTACAGTTTAACCAAAACCCAACAAGGACACTGCTGTTGTTTTAGGCACCAGTCAGAACTGAATAGAGAGAGTGACTCTTAACAAGAACATTTTTGATCATATTTCAGCCCAAAATCAAAAGAAAAAAAAATTAGAATTAATTTGATATTTTAGCCGATTCTGGGACAATTTTTCATAACAATTAAGCAACTATTTGCCCTCAAATTATCATTACTGTCAGGTGAAAGAAAACTAATCCTCAATACTGAAATTCAGTAATACATCGTCCTTTCTGCACACAATAAATTAAATTCAGTACAACAGATACTTTCAATTGCACTTTACAAATGTATTTTATTACTTAAATTGCACTGCTTTTTTCTTTTGATTTTTGTAGTGAAATATGACTTGGACGTTACTGTGAAATTCACCAATGGCAAAATTTGGCTCCACAAAAATTGTATACTTTCAATAAATTGTAAATGACCAAAAATCACACCAAGCCTTTGTTTGAATGGGACGCTGCATTTAAGTTTGGGTTTAAAGCCATAGTTCACTAAAAACGAAAATTTGCTGATAATGTTCTCACCCTCAAGCCATCCAAGATATAGATGAGATTGTTTCAGATTTGGAGAAATGTAGCATTGCATCACTTGCTCAGCAATGGATCCTCTGCAGTGAATGGGTGCCGTCAGAATGAGAGTCCAAACAGCTGGTGGTTCCATTGCTGAGCAAGTGATGGATTTCTCCAAATTCAGTACATTTTCAGCAAATGTACATTTTTGGGTGAACTGTTCCTTTAAGAACATGCAACATCACCATTATGGAGGAATGTAGCATCAGTCTGCACTGCTTTATCGTAAATAACCTGATTGCAATTCAAATGAAAACACAAAGGGCCTAATGATTTGCTACGGCACATTCTGCTCCTTCAGCTCCTCTGCAAACAGAATGGATAATGCAGTTTCACAGTGTTTTAAGACTTAAAGAACTCGATATGCTGAAAACTCTTTGGTAAACCATCATAGCTGGTGTGTCTAAGATAATGAGGTCACAAACCATTAACAATAAACCCACACTATTGTTCACTCTAATGCAAAAGTCGAGTCTGTGATGCTCTTTGGTGCGTCTGGTTATCGAATGCAGGTGGAAATGTGGCAAGAGCTGCAAAAATACAAAATCATCCCTAATGCAACGAGAAAGTCCTATTATATGTAGAATACAGTTTTCACATACAATTTTAATACATATTGTAACTTATTCATAGGTTGCGTCTGCACCCTCCCGTCTTTGGCTGCATTCTAACTTGAGATGCGTTTGCTGGGTGAAACCCGTTCGTAGGGTTAAACGGTAAAATCTCAAGCAACAGCTTCGCTTGAACATGCCGCGTAACACTGGACGTGATACTTCAAACTCCCCGAGTCCTCTTATCTCCATCCCATGATGCAAATGGGTGAATCTCATGAAAATAAATGAGCATTCAAACATTTTGCATACAGAAAAGCAAACCTTTTTTGCATTTCAGCATTATTTTAAGCACATTTTGACACCAAATCTGGGCTTTTCGTGAGATTCATCCATCTACTGAAGTTCACGTGCCACGTCTTTAAACACTGTGTCCGCTATTTGCATTTTGGCTCACTAAACCTTCATGGATAAACTAATAAAATCCGGTATAAAAGAACCACTGCAGTTCAGCGTCTCGTATTAAATAACAGAGCTGCGTCTATGTACAGCAAAATAAAAGTGCTGGGACTGACATCCGTGTAAAAGCCCACAGTGAAATCTGTGAATAATACTGGTAAAATAGAGCGATGCGCAGCGTCCTTTATACTTGCCCCGGCTCGTGTCTCGCCCCGTCACTAACACTGTGAGGAAGCGCAAGCGAAGCCACGGCTCCGGCAGGGACTGAGGGGTAGTGAGAGGCTCGTAGGCTCCTCCTCTGTGCCAGCGCTGGTCTCAGATCAGTCTGGAGTTTCTCAGGAACTGAATGAGGACTTTGTAAATGAAGGTGTACTGTGAAAGCGTCTGTACCATCATCATGCGTTGCTGCCGCAGCAAGTTCAGAACAGTCGGGACGTCCAGCATCTATCAGGAAACATAGACACGTCAGTATTGAAACAGGAGTATTTCACAGCAGTTTTCAATGCAGCCAATCCGAATTTAGAATCTGAATTATGCGTTTTATTAGGTCTGGGCGATAAAACGGTATCGATATATATCGACGGTACACCTTCTTCGATAACGATAAAAAATGTTCGATATAGTGCATGATATAGTCACGTGCTATGAGTGACGCAGACAGCACACACAAACATGAACATGAGTGCTGTGCCTGCGATGAGGAGATTGTGAGTAAAGAATGAATATTAGTCGAATTTAAAATAAAAATTTGTATTTGAATGCAAAAATAGTACAATCCAATGTTAGATGTGCGTCAGGGAGCGTCATTCGTGGAGCACGAGATGCGGTGATGTTGTAGTTTAATGTTTTGTTAGTCTAGCCCACGAGACGCGCAGTTGCTGCGTTATTCATTCAAAATATTAGAAAAATTTAGAAGCTCAATCCACTGTATATATATATATATATATATATATATATAAATATATATAGTAGCTCAATGCGGGGAAGGTTAAAACCGAAACCAAGCCATTCACACAGAACGCATATTCAGCGCATTTTTTAGACGGACAAATACGACTGCTGCACTCGCGTCTCACACAAGAGATGTAGCCATGCAAAATTAAAACGGTTTAAACTTTTAGAAAACACGTCACGCATTTTTGTGGAGGTTTTTTCCTTTTCACTGCGTCTCATATGTTTTTAAATGCAGTCTGTGAGAATGGTGCTTCGACTCTTTGTATTAAGCAATGCATAAATACGTGATGCTGTTTTGTTCATAAATGTTTATGCAATTTATGAAATATTTGATTTATATGAGTTCATTTAGACAGTTCATTTTTATAGACAGTTACTTCCTTAAGTTGATTTCCCTGCGTTGACATTATGTGCTGCATTATTTTGCTCATTGCGCCCTCCTGTGGCCTCGGGAGACAAGCCAAAAGTTTTACCTATTTAATCTGCATATAAAACATTAGAAATGAGATATTGGTTTAATTTTAATTTTGTTTTTGACTGTTAAAACAAAAAAATATTTGTTGTTTGTCTCAATAAATTGAGTTAATTTAAAAATACAGTGGTTAAATGTAAAAAAAAAGAATTCTATTGCTCTTTGTTTTAAAAAAGGTTATAAAAAATGTCGAACGAACGATATGAAACATTATATTGTTGATACATTTTTTAGCTATATCGCCCAGCCCTACGTTTTATAATATTAAATAAATAAGCAAAGTAAGGCAAGTTTAAAAAAAATTGTAAAGCAGATTCATACAGCGATAATGCAAAGTGCTTCACATAAAAATGATTTCAAAAATTGTATATGAAAAGGTTAATAAATAAGTAAAAAATAATAGAAATAAAAATAAAAATATTTATTAATTATATTTAATTACATACCATTTAATATTGAAATATAATAGTTAGAATATAATTAAATAATTAAGTCTTTAAGTTTAACTCAAGTGTTTCATAACATGAAGCTGTTTTCGCACTGATATCAGACTGATTCATTTATTTGCTACAAATCATTTACATAAAAATGATTTAAAAACCTGAATAAAAAAAGGTAAATAAAAAATTATATTGTATATTTTATATTATATTAAATTACACATTTAATATACAAGTATACTAATTAAAATATAATAAATAATTTTGAATCTTTAAGTTTGAACTCAAGTCTTTAATAATATGAAGCTGTTTTCACACTGATATCAGACTGATTCATTCATTCACAACAAACAATTTACACGATGATTTAAAAGTTGTATATAAAAGGTACATAAAAATAATAGAAAAAATATATAAATATAAAAAATGCATAATATTAATAACATTTAACATTAAAGTATAATAATTCAAATATAATGGAAATAAACAAGTCTTTAGGTTTGAACTAAAGTGTTTCATAATATGAAGCTGTTTTCGCACTGATATCAGATTTTTAGTAATTCATACAAATTATTAGATTTTTTTGCTCTGTTAATCACGTTTCAAATTAAGATTTAATTAAATCATTTTACTACATTTTTAAATATTTAATAATTATTAAATTAATTGTAATAAATAATTTTTTTAATTAAAATTTTATTTGATTTGTAAGTTTCATTTCCTTCAATGGATTAATTAAAACTAGTTATTTTTAAATCAAATATTTTTCTATTGTATTTCCAGTGAAAGTAATTAAGCCACCCCATACACCATATTTAATTTTGATGTAAACGAGGCATTCAAGTACAGTCTGTTCAATGTCTCCGTCTTAAGATCCCTAAGTTACATTGCAATCAGTGTTTGGAAAATTGTGAAATGGCATTTTCAGTGTTTCAGTGGCTAAATGATTGTCCCCGGGTTACGTAACAGTACCACTGTCTGTCCTTCAGCGCCTCTCGGCTGCGATTTCGTCACATTAAATGTGCATACTAGGTCTAAGTGCAGTACAAACCTGTCCATCAGTCACATCCTGACATCTGCAGAGAATGTTGTCATCTCTATTCCTAGCAACCGTGTGTTTGTAAGCTTAGCAGAAGTGTAACATTTCTTTCTGCCAGTGGTAAGCAGTGTATGTCCTTTAGCCTGGTAACCGTGACCACTCTGCCCTGAAAAGCTGGTGAAAGGCACTAAATCTCTCATGCGTTCATGCCACTGTAAGCACAGGACATGTGTACCTCATTATGTTCCAGACAAGCTATCATGATCTCAGACAGGATGACCACACCAGTGCGTCCCACCCCTGCGCTGCAGTGCACCAGGACCGGCAGGTTTGTGTTCTTTGGATCACTGGAGCTGTTGGTGTGTCGCCTCACGGACTGGATCTCCTCCAAGTACGCTGAGACACAGAAATAGAGCGTTTTAAAGAGCCACGCCAGGCGAAAACACACAAGCTGCACAACAGAAAGAGGCCAGCTAAGGGACACGCCGCAAGAATAGTCTTCTTGAAGCTTAAAGTATATAAACATAATCAAAATACTGTTTCTTGAATCATTATAATGGTGCTGAATAACACTGTTGGGATTATCTTAAGCAAACTTAACCAGTCATGTTTTACCCCAAAATCAGAAGGGAAAAAAATATTTTTTATATTATGATGTTCATAATTATATGTTATGTTAGTTAATTATAAAACTATGTATAATACACAACAATTTAAATCAAATCAAACAATAAGATTTTGTGACATTACTTTTAGGCACAGTGTTAAGAAAGATCATAATGTATATATATACAGTGGTGTGAAAAAGTTTTTGCCGGTTCTTTAATATGATGATGATAAAACAGAAAAATTTTGCATTAAGACAAATATGCATCATAATATACTGATTAAATATATTTGCATATATGAATGCAAAATAAAATATGTATTTAGGTATACATATTTTAGGTATATATGACCCGGAAATATGAGCCGAAGATGTTTTGTGACCCACTTTTTTTTTCTTACTGCAAATTGTTAGAGTTTAAGAGAATACTTTCACTTTTCTTTCTGGTTTACAAAACCAGTAGTTTGTCCAGACACTAATGTCTTTATTTTTTCACATGCAGATCCTAACACCATTTGTGATGTCCTGTGTGCCAAAAGCAGAATATTTGATATAAAGAAAGCCCTTCATTAGTGCTGTACTTACAGAGAAAGCCTTTAAAGTCCTCCGGGCAGCCGTGATCGGGCCAGTCTGTGTACTGCAGGTGCCAGACGGTTCGCTCCTGTCCCGTCAGGAGATGTTTGATCTTCAGGCCCGTTGTGGCATAGCACCCAGAGTCTGTGCGGAAGCGTGTGGTGATCTTAAATCGGCCGTATGTAACAGTGTTGTGGCGAGAGCCCAGACGAGGCCAATAGCGGAAACTCTTCTCACGACCCCCTTCCTGCAGAACGGGACACAAAACAATGACTTACACATCAGATTCAAGAGTGACACTGTATATAACAACCACTTAATGTGCATACAGAGATCTTTTCATTTTCACCTCCTCTGCTGTAACCATTGCGATGATGGAGACTCCTTGTTCCCAAACCATCTGCCAGAAGTCTTGGCAGGTGCTTGAGAGCGGACCCTGAGACGCGATATAACTCCACTCTTTACCTCTGACCGTAACCTGATGAATAAAGCAGCAGAAATCACAATATGAAGGCTGATTAATCTGATATAAAGCTGCAAGCAGAGCAATTATTGGTGTTCAAGCGCATGCATAAAAAATATTATGTATAATTTAGCAAGCCCAAATGAACCTAAATCAGAACTAAAAATGTAGGTAAATTAGAATAGAAATCTAAAATTGTACTTTTATACCCGTCCTATGCCTGATTTCCATAAAATGTTGCATGCTTCTTTTGGACCATAAGATGCATGTTCTTACCTAATTTCATGAAGTTCAACGGTTTAGTTTAGAATTCTTTGAAAAATTATGCACATTTTTATGTCAGATCTCTACGATTATAGTTTGATGTTGCATGATCAGGCATAATAATAATAATAATATTAAGAATAAGAATAGATTTTTAACTTATAATTGTACATTTCTTCTTTCAAATAAATAAAATTTATTATTTTACATATTTATATTATATTAACAAAATTTTTATTTTTTACTCTAGTTCAACGTGTTTCAATAGTAATAATAATAATATTAATGATAATACATTTTTAACTCATAATTGTATTTTTCTTATCCCAAATAAATTAAATAATTCATTATTTAATATATTTATATATATATATATATTTTATACTCTAGTTCAACGTGGTTAAAAAATTATTATTATTATTATTATTATTATCCCTAACTGTATTATAACAAACAATTTTAGGGCATAATAATAATAATAACAATAATAATAATTAGTATTATTATTATAAAACTTAATTATTATTATTATTACTATAAAACTTATTACAAGATAACTTATTTCCAAGATTACAGTTTTATCTACACGGTGTGTTTTGGGGCACAATATTAATAATATTGTTATTAATAATAATCTTAATAAATTAAGTTTATAAGTTATTATTATAATAAGTATTTTTCTCTATAAGTCTAATAAGTCTCTAAATATCCATGCATGATGTTGTGGTCACAGATCTACAGCTCACCCTGATGTGCGAGGCGTTGATGTAGCCCGTGTTGTTCTCTTTGGTGGGCACCAGCTCCACACGCGTGTCGTCGTAGGGCAGGACGTCCTGGAAGCGGTTCCTGTCGCTGTTCTCGGGCATCTGAGCGATAGTGCACTCGCAGTTGGGCCGCTTCTTGGGCACATGCTCGTACTCGGTGAACACCATCCCCTGCTCCATGCGCTGCTCCAGTACTTTACACTGCAGGAAACACACAGGACGTGAGGCTCTGCTCATCCAGAACCGCCTACAACACGCTTACAGTGAGCGCAGATGTATTTAAAAAAACTGAGTTGACTGGCTCTCAAAATTCCCCACCTGAAAAGCCAATTAGTATTTTAGTTGCTGCACCACATTAATAAACAATCTGCCCTCAACAGTATTTGTCAAGTATGGTATCAGTTTATACTCCTACGAGATCTCTGAGGTCCGAGAATCAACACCTCCTTTGTGTTACTAGGACAAAATACAAACACAGGGGTTATAGAGCCTTTTTGCGAGCCGGTCCAAAACTGTGGAATGACTTTTTTAAATATTAGAAAATAAATGATAATTTATAATATAATTTTTGATAAATGTATATTATTGTATTCACTTATAACAACAACAACAATAAATAATAATAATGTTTTAATATATTCAAAAATATTTAAAACACAAAAATAGTAGAAATATTAATATTATATGTGCAATAATATTTTTGATGACTTCAACGTAAATGTTACTATTAATAACACTTACAATAATAAAAGTAATAATTATGTAATAATAAATACAATAATATATTTAAATAATATATTGCAGAAGTGTAAACAATAATAATGATTATATATATATATATATCAGAATATTTAGAACACATTTTTAAAATATTAGAAACATAAATATTATATATTACACTAATAACAATCATAAAAATGTTCTAATAAATACAGTAATATATTTAAATAATATATTACAGAAGTGTAAATATATGCATATGCACACACACACATACATACACATATTTTTGATGACTTCACTATAAATGTTATAATTATTAAATACATTAATACATTTAAAACATATTTCAGTTTTTTTAATATTAGAAATATATAAATAAATTCAATATATGTATTTATTAAACGGACTAATACTTTAAAATTTGTATTAAAAATTGGAAAAATATCAATAATCAAAACTGTGCATAAAAAAAACTAAACAAACAAACAAAAAACACCTTAGTCAACCACTAACCAGAAAGCAGTACTCACCCGCTCGTCATTAGACGCGTTCTCCGGGTCGTCCTTCCCTTCATCGGGCAGAGGCATTCTGGACAGTGTCAGACCATTGAGAGCCGCCATCTTCAGGGGACCCACCTTCTTGACCTCGGAGCGTCCTTTCTTCATACCCTTCATCCCCGGAGCGAGCGATGGAGAGAGACAGAGAGAGAAACAGAGTCTGAGGATCAGCGTCTGAGAGACACAGTGGAGCAGAGCCACAGAATGCAGCCGTTCGGGTCTGACGGCATTCTTCATGTCACTCGTATAAAGTCAAGTGCTCGGCCTCACCCGGTGTACAAACACCTACTCTACATGCAGACGAAATGAAAATAAAAGCAACACCAGCTGGATCAAGTGCAATCACAAATCAGTTTGCGTTTCCTTTCACAACTGAGCTGAACCGATCATTTCTATATCTGTGAATAAGATCTCTGACTTATTGATAAAAGAGCAGCATGAACATTCTGCTAAACATCTTTTTTTATGCTCCACATGTTAAAGTTGAGTAAATTACCGAAATCTTATTTTGAGGTTATTTTAAATAAAGAACTAAGTGTTTGAAAAAAAAAAAAAGTGCATTACAAATAAAAATTTTATTTTTACTGCATTAATACCAAAGCTCAATAAATTACTACAGACGGGTGACAGGAATCAGTGTTATTTTTGTATTATTTAAATACTATTATAATTTGATATATTATAATTATTAATACTTAATAATCATAACATTATAATTATTAATATTTTAAATTAGTCTTTATTTTTATATTGTCTTTTATTTTAATTGTCAAGTTTTTTTGTTTTTGTCATACATTATACATATATATATACACATACATACAAATTAATTTATTTATATATTTCTAAAATATATTTTACTTTTAGCTTTAGTTAAGTATAACTAAAATGGGTTATTAATGGAATGAGGAGGTAGCATTTAGTTCCTGGTTAAACCTCATTAGAAGAGACGGTGCAGCTAATTGTGGCGTTTCTCTTTAGTGAACACCTGAAAATGCTTACATAATGACTAATTAATGACCTCATCTGGGTGGCTACACAAAATAATGGCGCCTTACATTGTGCTTATTCTGCTTTGGGCTAATTAAAACCCTGCAACTTTGCATTTAAAAGCACCTCTCGCTTTCCACGTGATGCGTGGAGTATTCCAGAGTAAAAATGTCACTAAAACAGACTAAACAGAAAAAAATATAAGGGGAAATTAATTACAAATTTGTATAAATTATATGTAACATAAATATATATTTTTTACATTAAAATGTAAAGCATAATATTAATAATAATAATTATTATTATTATCATTATTTTAACTCATAAAAATGCTGAATATATATTATTTTTGTAAATTACAATTCTGTTAAATACTTTTTTTATAATTATAATTTTAATAAAAATGTTATAATAGTAAGTTTTTTAAGTAATTTAAAGTTGCAGTAATATTTATTTTTTGTATATTTTATCTTATATTTTCCAGTTTTAGTATTTTTATATATTATAATAATTGTATTACAATAATATTTATGTCTAATATTTTGTCTAATTTTTTTTTTCACGATTCTGATTCAATTCTGATCTTTAAGTGAAGTGATAAATTAGATAAATTAGAGTTTTATTTTGACTTTGTAGCTGGACTTTAAAGTAGATTTAAAGCTTTAAAATAATATTAATAATAATAATAATTTTAAATATTTATAAAATGCAGAATACATTACTTTTGCAAATTACAATTCTACTGCTTAATATAAAATAATTTTACAATTATAATTTATTTAGCACTTCGTTACAATAATATGCATTAGGGTTGCAAAGGGGTGGAACATTTCCAGTAAATTTCCGTAAACTTTCCAAAAATTCCTGGAATATTCCAAAAAATCCTGGAATGGTGTAAATTACAATTCTGTTAAATACTTTTTTTATAATTATAATTTTAATAAAAATGTTATAATAGTAAGTTTTTTAAGTAATTTAAAGTTGCAGTAATATTTATTTTTTGTATATTTTATCTTATATTTTCCAGTTTTAGTATTTTTCGTGATTCTGATTCAATTCTGATCTTTAAGTGAAGTGATTAATCTTTTAAATTAGAGTTTTATTTTGACTTTGTAGCTGGACTTTAAAGTAGATTTAAAGCTTTAAAATAATATTAATAATAATAATAATTTTAAATATTTATAAAATGCAGAATACATTACTTTTGCAAATTACAATTCTACTGCTTAATATAAAATAATTTTACAATTATAATTTATTTAGCACTTCGTTACAATAATATGCATTAGGGTTGCAAAGGGGTGGAACATTTCCAGTAAATTTCCGTAAACTTTCCAAAAATTCCTGGAATATTCCAAAAAATCCTGGAATGGTTCCGAAATTTACTGGAAATTTTCCACCTTTTTGCAACCCTAATATGCATGTCTTTATATTTTTTACTTTCAAACATTCAAACTCTCAAGCTTTTAACATTATGTGAATGTGCAAAAAAAACTCAACTTAGTGTATGTTGCATTCCTAAATGCATGTTTAACTGATTCTGATTCAGTTCTGATCTTCAAGTGAACTTACCGCCGGTGGAAGACCATCGATGTTCCTTCTGGCAGGTGGCACGTCAGAGACGGGTCTCTTATAGACGTCCCTCTTCTGTCTCAAGCGACCCTGTCCGCTCAGATCCCCCTCTGACACCGAGGGCACCATGTGTCCGGGCTCTCGCAGAGGCGGCAGCTGCCCCATGTCCTCTGGTTTGCGGATGATGGAATGGGGCTGGTACGCCAGAGGGCCCGTCGGGACCATCTCCATACTGTGGCTGAACGGATAAGCAGGCGGATCTACGAGGGGCCGTCCCATCGGCGTCATGTGATGCTCGGGACCGCCCACAGCATCCTGAGACTGCGGTGTGTGTCGTCCGCTGTCGTCTTCGAACTCTTCTTCCTCACCGCTGCTGTGCACTAGCATCGTGGCGTCGGACAGGGATTTTTTGTGCCCGTAGATGACATCCTCCATCTCGGGCTTCGTGACCTCCAGGACGACGTTGATGTCGGAGCCGGATGCTGTAGGTGGCATCGCCTGGGCAACAGGGGGCGGGGTCTCAGCTGCTGATGCGGATGCCTGGGTAGTTGATGCAAAAAATGTCAATAAATAATAAAATCAATAACACATTTTCTTAAATATAGTTAATTTAGTATCTGAGATTATTGCTAATAATTATATAAGAATTAACTATAAGCATTCTTAATTAAATATATTATTAGATAATTAGCAAAATGCTGTTGAAAAGAGCTTTAAATGCATAACATGAAGATGAAGATGCACATACATGGGTGGTTGATGCATTACATATTCATGAATTCATTCAAAATAGAATATAGAACCTTATATTATTAATAATTACACAGGAATTAAATAATTATGATTTTTATTTAATTCATTATATAAATTATATATTATTAATTGGCAAAATTCTGTTTAAATGTCTATAACGTCACACCGAAGATACAGATATAAAATAAAATAAATTCTCTCAAATATAGTTTGAGCTAGAATATGCATACTGTCACATAAAACATAAATTAAATGAATTCAAAACAAATGATCTCAAATAGTTCAATCTAGAATCAGATATTATTAACTATAAATAATTACAATTATATAAGAAGTTATTCTTAGAAGTTATATAAGAAATTATGTAAGAATCAGCAAAACTGCTGAAAATAATTTACAATGTGTATAACATTTTATATATATTGTAATCATATAATAATGCTAATAATTATATAAGAATTTTATAATTAGTAGGATTTATATAAATACAATCATAGGATTTATCAACACACGTACTATTTAAACAATTATCTTAAATATAATTCAATCAAGAATCACAGGTAGATATATAAATAATATATATCTATCCAACTATATACCTATGTAATTATAAAACATTAAATTATTAGGATTCCTATACAATTATTTTATATAAATCACAGAACTAACAAATGCTATTGAAAATAGGTTTAAACATTTTTAACATCACATGAATTAAATGAATTAAAAAAAAATCTAGAATCAGAGTTTAATATACATTATAATAATATAAATATATAAGAATTAATTATAGAATTAGGATTCGTATTCAGAGCCGATCCTCCCTATACGCAAAATACGCAAGCTGCGTAGGGCCCCCGAAACACCAAGGGGCCCCCTTGCTCTCAAAGATGATTTAATTTTAGTTTTGTTTTTTAATTTGGCCAGAGGTTATGAAAACATGAATGATCATTTCTTCATTGATTTCAGACAATCAGTCAAATCATGTAATGTGAATGTCGTACAGTCTTGCTCGAGACAAAAAAAACGAGTTGAAAGTATACCGAGCCGCGAAAGAGACACTGTTTCTCAAGCGCTTTCCGCGAGCACGATTCGAGACAGAGTGAAACACGGACAGATGCGTTTCATTAATTTGTTCGTTCATAACCACTCATATCCCACTCCACCGACACAGTTTTGCGTAGGGCCCCCAGAAGTCTAGGATCGGCACTGTTCGTATATAACTAAAGGTACATAAATTATAGAATAATTGAACAAACACTACTGAAAATAGTTTTAAATGTGTATAACGTATAACGTCCCAAAACGACTCACCTTCCTCTCCTTCAGCCTCATGTTCTCCAGGCTGTACGCCACGGGCCGGCTGTAAGCATACGAGTTGCCGATGTTGAGGTTCCTCATGGAGTGGCTCTGGCGCTCGGCCGGCGGGATCATCCCGAGGTTCTTCTGCCTCATGACCGCCTCGTAATCGGGCGTGGCGCGGTAGGACGGCGGGATCAGGGCGCTGTGCCGGTGGGAAGGCACGTAGTCGGGCCGCATGAGGTCACTTCCTGTGATGCTGGGGTTGGACGACATGGGCGATGGCTGCAGGTAGTGCTGCGGGTTGTTGAGGGAGCTGGTGCTCTGGGCGCTGTAAACGCTGCCGTTACGGATCCGGCCGTTGTACTCGTGCGGAGAGCGGTCCAGACTGGTCTGGGAATGGTAGTAGAAACCGTTCTGGTTGTTGATGTAAAGATTATCTGTAGGAAATACAAGAGAGGTGCGTCAGTTCTTATTATTTTTGTCTTGTCTTGTTTACAAATATCTAAACTTTCTTTAATCGAGATACATTCACTTGAGAAGCAAAATGACAGTCATTGCAAGTCAGCATCATTATGATGCAAAAATATTGTAAAGTTACATTTTTATAAAAGATTTCTGTAAAGTTTTTGATTTACTGGCTGATTTAAATAAAAACAATATAATAAATAAAATACAAGAATGCTTCTTTTACTTAGTATTTTTGTCTTTTTCCAGTACAAACTTAAAATCAGAATAAATTAACTTGAGAAAAATGGCATAGGTTATTTTCACAAAACTTTGACTTTTTCACCCACATTGTCCATGTTTTAATATTTATAGAAATTGTAGTTTTTGATTTACTGTCTACAATTTACCTTGTTTTAACTACAAAATATAATACATGAAATAAAATACAATAGTATTTTTAACAAACTTTTTTTTAAATCAAGATCAATTTAATTTATATTTAAATTTATATATTTATAAAAAATGTTGTAGTATTGGACTTAATGTTTATAATTTATCTTGATTTAAATAGAAAAATAAAAACCAAGAATGATTTTAGTATTTTCATCTTGTTTTCAAATACAAATATATAAACTCATAAATCAAGATACATTACCTTGAGAAGACTTAATATCTCAAGTTATTATGTTATATATTAATATATTAAGTTATTATGTTAATAAGTTATTTTGCTTCTTAAATAAATGTATCTTGATTTAAGAATGTTTAAATATTATATTAAGTCTTCTTTTCTGAAAAATGTATCAAAATTAAGATTGTGTGCTTAAACCAAGAACTAATATCTGTCCGTGGAGTCAGAAAAACAAACTTTTTTATTTTTTTTTTAATAATGTTAATTTCTCTTAAGCCGCCAATTAAGCTTAAACTCACTAAATTCTGTCATTTTGCTCTTAATTTAAGAATGTTTAGATGCAAAATACTAAATAAGAAAATAATTTTTTTGAGAACGGACAAAGCATTTTTGGACTGTTGCTGATGGGACATGTTCTACCTTGTGAAGATGTGTACGGTTCGGTGTAATGGCCGTTAAAGTGCATCTGAGGTGGCATCATGTAGGGTTGCGGTTTTGGCTGCATCATAAGACAAAACAAAAGCAGCATTATTCAGCTGGACATATTAACTCTGTCCCAAACCTAGTGAGCTGCCTATCTAGACTTTTCATTTGAAGTCATACAAGTGCAAGTTTTGTTTTTTATGCTTATCATGACATTTATAAGGCTTCATTTTAGTTAGAATGTTGCCTTAAAAGGGAGCTGCCTACATAGAGAGCAAGGTTTTGGAATAGAGCTACAGTAAATCACATTGAAAACAAATGAGATCATGAAGAGCCGACAAACTCCAGAAACGTCCTACAGAACAAGCTCCATAGCAAAACTGTTGTATAGTCATCGAATAACTGGTATAATGCTGACCAGAGACATTCTCGTAGAGGACCGTCGCCTCACTGTGTTTACTGGAGCGGGCTGAGTTTGTCTGTAATAAAACACAAAACAATAAAAGACAATTGTGAAATAAACCAGAGTAATAAAGCTCAGCGTTTTATTTGTCACATGCACTGCGATACTACAGTACAAAGTCAGCAGTTTGCATTTTGCACAGCATTTAATTTTTTGCATTGTGACATTTTCATGACAACTCTCAGCCACATTCTCAATATTTAAAATATATATATATATATATATATATATATACACACACAAAGATTGTAGCATTTGATTTACTGACTATAATTAGTCCTGATTAAAAATAAAATATTTAATGATCATAAAATAGTTAAAGTTATTTAAAATGTAATAATATTTCACAGTATTACTGTTTTGACTGTAATTTTGATCAAATAAATGCAGCCTTGATGAGCAGAAGAGACTTCTTTCAAAAATATCTGCATTGTCGCATTGGCATTTAGGGTATATTTTTACCCACATTCTCAATATTTAACTAATCACTATGATGCTGTAATGGGAAATTATTGTAAATTTAAATATTTATTTTTTTAAAGTTTTAGAACTAAACAGTAGGAAATATATTAATGTGCATGGTTTCATGGTATTTTAGGTGCATGTATTTCACACTTTTACACTGTCAGAGCAATCACAAGCACTCTTGCATAATGAGCTGCCACCCATGAAAGGGAACATAAATTGCACGAAGAACAGCTTTTCTTTGCTGCTGTACCTTCGCTTGGACACTCTCCTCACCGTACCCCTCCATCTTCTCCACCTCCTGCATGTAGAGTAACTCCGCCTCTGGTGAGGACAGACCTCTGGGAAACAGAAAACACACACACAGCTCTGATTTGAGACACTACAGCACAAAGGTCACATTCAACAACGCACTAGTCATCTGATGTCATTATCAGACACATCTGTGCTGATTCTTCCTCATGCTTATCGTGCATTACACAAACAGCGTCAGAGCACAGCAATGTGTGCGTATATTTCTTCCAAGATGATGAAAAAGTTTCAGCTGCATGACGTGCAATAAAGAACCAAAGAACTATATTACATTCAGTATAGATTATTTTTTAATTCATTGCAAAAAAAAGCTTAAGTAGAACATGGAATTAACTTTTACTGTACCTTCTGTTCATACTGCAAAAAAGTGATGTTTTCCTCCGTATTTTTGCCTTATTTTCCAGTGCAAATGTCTAAAGTTTCTTAAGTCTTGTTTTCTGAGAAACTGATCAAAATGAAGTGAGCTTATGATTAAAACGAGAACAAAATCTGCCAATGGAACGAAAAATCAACTTGATTCAAAGGAAAATGTTCATACCACATTGACAGATATTTTTTTCTTGTTTTATGCATAAACTTACTTAATTTTGTTTAATTGTTCAGATAACATCAACTATCTTCATTTTGCATTTTATGCAAATGCATCTTGATTTAGGGCTGTTTAGATATTTGTATTGGAAAATAACAAAAATACTGAGGAAATATTTATTTTTTGCATTGTGTGCAACATTTAATGCCATGACTATGAATTTAAGACTTTCTACTCTGATTTAAGACCTTTTTAAGGCCTTAATTTGTGGAAGGAGCAAATTAAGACTTTAAAGACAAACAGAAACCCTGATAAATATATAGTTTTTATATCAACTTATAAAATTTAACTCTAACTTTTTTACTGAAGTTTAAATTTAAGATGAAATTAAAACATCTTTCATAATGCATAATATAGTTTAAAGACATGTACTTTTAGAAACATAAAGGCCAAATAAAACATCAAGATTTAGATGTTAATTGATTTTATATCAACAACAAAACGTGGCAACTATTTCAGTATATATGTCCCAGCATAACGTGTGCAAAGCACATGCAAACCTCATCTGAAAGACCTTCTGAAGCAGAACTTTTGCAGGACAGCCAAGAGCATTTATGTTGCTCTGAGCCCAAAGCTGAAAGTCTGGTCATAAGTCACGTCAGGGGTTTGACAGCTTCCTTTGAAATCCTCTAACAGGAACCATCTGAACACATCTGATAATCACGAAGCCTCCTCACTGAACCTCACATAAACTGTGGCCAACAGTTTTTCAGGCTTTTCCCATTTTGCAAATAACTACAGCCTCTCACCGGTAGTTTTGATAGAGCATGGTGACTTTCTGAGTGGCCTCTTCCACAACCCTCTCGTCCTGTATCCATGGCTGAGAAAAGCAGAGAAAGAGAGTAGAAATAATAGACTCATGAAATATCCTGCCGTCTTTATTCCTGGAATAGACAATAAAATGTTCAATGATTACATACCATTGGAAAAAGCACAATTTTTTGAAGGAATTCTTGGGAATCATATCGATTGAAGTCCCCAAGGTCGGCTGGAACCAACAGACAAACAAAAGATTAGTGTTACATTAAAAAGCCTCAATTGATTCCTCAAAGGAAGACACATGGGGCGATATATTATTATTTTTTTTTTTTAACTAGATGTACTAGATATACAATATATGAAGATGCACATGATGCACATTCAAATCTCTAATCATATGAGCTATGAGCAATATTAATAGAGATGAATTTGACTTTGCAAACACCAATTAAATTAGAAGTTATTTTACTCATTTTTATTTTACAAATATTATTTGTATTTCATTTTACTATTTATTTTATGTATTTTTAGTTTATAACTTTAAATTTATTTTTAGATTTTATTTTACAAATTATTTTATTTTTATTTTACAAATGATGTACTTATTTTTATTGCATTTTACAAAGAATTTTATTATTTTTTATTTCATTTTACTAATTCGTTTATTTTACTTTTTTTGCAAATTATTTTATGCATTTATTTTTATTTTATAAATTTATTTTTTATTTTATTTTACAAATTTGATTTATTTTCAATTTATTTTCCATTTATGTATTTTTTTTTTTACATATTCTCATTCTGAATGAAGATGCATTGATTTTATGGGTTTGATGTTGGGTTTAAAATGTAAAATGTGAGCTGACGCTCCTGCAAAATCATCTACAACATTTATAGAAATTGCACATCTAAATTTAGAAAAGCCAAGAGACGTTTTGTTATGGAAGGAATCGATTTAGCCTTTGTAACTGTAGTAGCTCAACATTAACAGCATGTCTAATCAGCCCGTTAGAAATGTTCACAGCTATGCTGACAATTCGAAACATTACCATCGCGTGAAGCCTCCTTACACAGCAATGCTGGTGCACAAAAATAACTCCCACTGAATATGTGTGGCCTCATTGAAATGACACAAACCACGTGAAGACAAAGGCCTTTTGACAGTGCAAATACGGGAACTATTTTTTTGATCTGGCTGTGACAGTGAGTGACGTCAGTTCCTCTGCTATGCTAAACAGCAGTCCAGTAACTGGTGCTGCCACATACATCTTTGCCAGCAGCGTATGAGACTCTTGTGTTGGGTAAAAGCTAAAGCCTGGCAGCACAGCTTGATAAACGGTGCTCTGATTTTCTAGACTCGCAGTCCGTAGAAATATAAAACCGTACCTTCATGATGGAGTATCTGAACCTGTGAACCAGACACTGGCCGAACATTATCTTAAGAATGTTAAAGCAAATGTTCTCTTGCAACATCAACTTATAACTGCATCTCAAAACACCTTCCACATTATATTAAAGGGATCTGAGAGTGAAAGGGAGATTTTCATCGAATGATGACCTGCATATGACTTCGAAACACTTAGTAGGGCTGCGTATTGACACAAAATTCATGATTTGATTCAGTTCACAAGCTTTGATTTGACATCGATTCATTTAGTATCGATTCACAATAAATCAATTCATTTGATTTAATATTGATTCTTATTGATTTAATATTACATATTAATCTAACTGTCAGCTAGTAGACTACTATAATATTAAAGTAATTTGTATACACTTTAATATGTATACACATTAATATGTATGTGATTTGTATATTTAAACTGCACAATAAAGACATTTTATTATCATAATGACATTCTAATAACTTTTTAATGATATTATGTTTCTTATCTTTTTTTTTTTTTTTAAATAAATATTTAAACAGTTGCTGACAAAAACATGCTTTAATTTATTTAAACATAAAATACTGAAGAACAGGTAAAAATGAACGACTGATTTATATAGAATCATCTAAATTGCACATAAGGCAGTTTTAATAAACATTTAAACAGTGAAACTTGTTTTCATGGCTGATTTATTCAAACAAACATACATAGATATTAAAGAAGTAAAACATTTAATAAATATATAATATAGTGCATATATTTAGCAAAATGCTCCTCTCTAGAGTTATTTTTCTAATTGAATAATGAGTCTATTGGTATTTATGGGCAAATATATCTCCGATTGTTTTCTGAAAGAAGAAAATCATATACAGCTAGGATGGCTTAAGGGTGAGTAAATCATGGGGTAATTTCCATTTTTGGGTGAACTATCCCTTTAACGATAACTAAATCATCTGAAACTGGGGACAGCGCAACCATAGGCCTGAATCAATCATAATTTCTCAGCATACTTGAAATATCAGGAAAAAAGTACCTTGCACAGCCAAGCTGGCCAAATGAATGGCTTGCTCAATGGAGCACGGGATCTTCCCCTCCAGAACGTCTTTCTTCAGCTGGAGATAATGCTGATATCTGCAGAAAACAGGAAGTGAGTAAAAGTGTCCTAACTGCACTGATGAGACCGTTTTAAACATATTCTCATCCTTAACCTGGTTATCTCTTGTTGTAACTGTGTAACAGACGACACGTAGAACACCACCCCAAAGTAAACGGTCGGCTCCAGTCCGTACTTGTCAAGCTGTTTCTTCAGCGGCTTCTCCAGATCAATCCATCTCTGCTGGTTTTGTTTGTTGCAGTACCAGAGGCTGAAATACGTTATCTGGGGAATGAACAGAATTTCACTGATTGCTCTTTCACTCGTGAGAAACAACAGGCCGGACCTCGTGTTTAACTTCAAATTGAGTATTTCTGGAGGTGAAGACTGGGCATATTCTCAATGTTTTGACTAAGACGTCTCTTTAGCAAAAGAGGAGAGGCGTGACATCCTAAAAAAATGTCTTTATATAATTACACATTATGAGCTCAGTCTAACTGAGATACTACATGCATGGAACATTTGTACTGTCACATTTATTCATGTCACACAGCAGGATGGTTATTGATCTCCAAAAATAGCTACATGTATAGGTGATTAAAACAAGTGAAAAAACTGAACAGAAATAATGACCAGCTACAGCATCACTTTATGCATTCATACGCATTTAACCTAAAATCTTGATGCTAAAAAAAAAAAAAAA